ATTCAAAACTTGGGTCGAATGGCCGATATCGGCTCCCTGAGCGTGGTTTGTCCCGAGGTTCCGGGACGCTCAGCGAGGACTGCCCCGAGCCTCCCAACTTCCTGCACCCGTCCTCCTGGGCGCGAAGCGACCGGGGCAAAAGCGCTCTCCACCGGACCCTCACCCATTGGCGCCGCCCGGTGTGTCAGGGAGGTGTAGACAGAGCTCGGGGCGGGGCCTGGGGCCCACGGCCGCGCGCGCTCGCCCATGTTTCCACACGGCGGGCCGCTCGCCAGGCGCCGGACGGCGCGGGCCGGGCCTCGCTGCTGCTGCCGCGCTTCCCGGCTCGCGGAGCTCCGGGCCCGGGAGGGCGCTCGCTGTGTGACCCTGGGCGAGCGCGCGCGCCTCTCTGAGCCTCGGTGGCCTCCTCCGGCAAAATGGTGGCGCCGGTACCCGGCTGTAAGGCGAGCGAGCCGGGAGCGGCCGGGGAGAGCGCTTCAGACCCAGGACGCTGCCTCCGAGTGACTTCGGGAAATAGGGGTGACCGCGGCGTCGTTAGGAAGATTGAGTGAGTGAATATTGAAAGTGGCCAGCACAGTACCTGCCCGCAGGAGTCTAGGAGGGAGACCAAGCAGGTCCGGCCCCGGGGCTGGGTTCGCCCTCCTCTTCCGATCCCCCACATTCCTGTTGGCCAGCCAGGCCTCTCTGCGGCACCGGCTGGGCTCCCGGCCTGGAGACCCGTACCCACGTCTCACCTGGGCCCCAGAATCACCACCTCTGCCACGCTGCCTTCTCCCTCCGGATATTCAGGTGCATCCCGGGTGATGGGTACCATAGGCAGCTCAGCCTCAAGGTTAAGGACGCAGGAGAGCTCCAGCTTGGCCCAGCTCTGCTGCAAGCAGGCACTTTTACCCAAGCTTGTAGAACATGGAATTAAAAGGTAAGCTGGCTGCCCTGCAAAAAAAAAATCTTGAGATCCATGTTTTTTTTTTTTCCATTCAGTTTTTGGAACCCCTAGGTGTGCCAACCTGGTAGGGTCCAGGCCGGCTTCTGGTCTGGGAGCCTGTTTTCTTGTGCATCAACTCTGATGTGCATGAGAGTTAGAAGCGCCAGAGGAGCCCATGAGGGCCTCAGTCCAGGCTGTCACACAGCGGGACCTCACTGTTGCCTGTGAGGTCACATGGTGTCCTCTGCTCCACCGGTGCGTTGCTTGGGGGTACAGTGAAGGGAAACCTCCAGCCCCACCCAGTCCCCAGGTCTGCCCGAGGTCCCGAGGTTGGGCCGGGAGTCCTTTTCCCTGAGGAGGGGATCCTGGTGGGGTTATTTATTGTCTATTGGAAACAGGGAGGCTGCGCTGACCACATGACCGCAGGAGTTCTCTGGGCAGGGTGTCCGGTGCTGGCTGGCGAGCTCGCCTAGTTTGGCTTGAAGCCCCGAGGGGGAGGCAGGCCCTTTCTGGGCACTGCTGCCCATGGCTCCGATTTCTGTGGGCTGGGAGGTGGGGATCCGCGGATCTGCTCACCCCACCGTCTACACCACTGCATCTCCCTGCCGGCTGCTGCCAGCTGCAATGTGCAGGGCCTCTGTCTCCTCCGCTCTCACCTCCTGCCATCCCGGACACGTTCATTCCCCTGCTCTCATGCAAGGAATGAGGCCCGAGCTCCGGGACATCAGTGCGCAAGCTCAGCCCTTCTCTCCCCGCCAGCACCTCACAGCCACATCTGTGCTCTGCCTGCCAAGAACCCCTCGGGCATGGGTCCTCCCCCAGAAAATGTTCCTGATCCCCCCAAGGTGGGATCTGTCTCTCCTGCTCCTGTCCTTGGTCTTCCCCAGACTGGGAGCACCTTGAGAACAGCTCCCGTAGCTGGGACGCCTGGTGGGGAGTGAAGGGGTGAACAAATGAATGAAGAATGAATGAACAAGCGAGCAGCTGGTCTGGTTTGCGAGTGTCTTTCCCTCGCACTCCAGTCGGTTCTACCAACACTTGCAGTCTTTCCTGAAGGAACTTTGGGGTTTTGCTGTCTCCCCGCTCCCCCCGAAGCTCCGTGCTTCCTCGCACTTCCAGGACACTGCCTCTCCCCGGTTGTGGGTTTGCCTCACTCAGTCCCTGAGTCACACTCACTAAGCAGACACCTTTTCCTTCCCCATGCTGGCCTTGGGCTGTCACTTTCCCAGGAACAGGGGCACGAGAGCTCACTGCTCGCCCTGAACTGGAGAGGAGACAGGAGGGAGGATGAGCAGCAGCAACACCAAGTTCAGGGTATAGGGATAAAAATGTATGCCTGGTAGGGGGGCAGGTTAGGCCACTGCCTGGGACGCTGCATCCCATCTCAGAGTGTCTGGTTCCAGTCTTCACTAGTCCACACTTCTGATCCAGCTTCCTGTTGATGCACCTGGGAGGCAACATTTGATGGCCCAAGTACTTGGGTTCCTGCCTCCCACATGGGAAACCCAGATAGAGTTCCCGGCTCCTGGCTTTGGTCTGGCCAGCCCCTGCTGTTGCAGGCATTTGGCGGGTGAACCAGGGGATAAAAGATCTCTCTCTCTCTCTCTCTCTCTCTCTCTCTCTCTCTTTCAAATTAAAAACAAAACACAAGGGGCTGGCACTGTGGCGCAGCAGGTTAATGCCCTGGCCTGAAGCACTGGCATCCCATATGGGCACCGTTTTGAGACCCGGCTGCTCCTCCTCCAATCCAGCTCTCTGCTATGGCCTGGGAAAGCAGTAGAAGATGGCTCAGGTCCTTGGGCCCCTGCACCCACGTGGGAGACCCAGAAGAAGCTCCTGGCTCTTGGCTGCAGATCAGCGTAGCTCCGGCCTTTGTGGCCAATTGGGGAGTGAACCATCAGATGGAAGACCTCTCTCTCTCTGCCTCTCCTCTGTGTAACTCTGACTTTCAAATAAATAAATATCTCAAAACAAAACAAAACACAAGAATGTGTACAGGAGAACAACTTGTCCTACAAGGGAAGGAGAGAGAGTAGAGAGAGCTTCAGCAAAGGGGTTCGTGTTGATCTGCGTCTAAGAGGCTGAATACGAGTTCATCAGGTGGATGGGGAGGGCTGTACTTGGCAAGGGAAAGCACGTGCCAAGGTCGCATTCAGAGAGCTAAAGGGACCAAAGACTCTGGACAGCACCCAGGGCACCCAGGGTCAGACTCCTGAGACCCAGCCCTGCTCTTTCCTTGCCAAGCGTCCCTGAGCTCCCTTCTCTGAGCCTCAGGATGCACATCTGTAAAGTGGGTGCGACAGTCCCCTTTTGGGTCACCCCTGGGAATAACAGATGTGTGTACAGGTCCATCCAAACAAGCTGGACTACTTGTACAGTCCACCCCCATGGATGGTCAGGAGGGCACTCAAGGTCGAAGCAAAGTGACCAGGAGCACAGCTTAGCTCCGCCCAGCTCCACTCCACCTGCCCAAACACAGACACACACACACACACCCCCATGACACACCTGCTGGAAATCCCATGTCTAGGTGTCCTGTCTCTGTAAATGGTTTATGAGCCCCCCGGGAGAGGGTACTGGAGGGGGGGCAAATTCATCAGAAGTTACTGACGCTGGACCAGAGGCGAGGCTTGTAATTTTGGCGACTGAGTCCTCAGGAGCAGAATTTAACTGCAACTACTACGGAGGTAGCACCAGGAAAAGCCCAAGGAAGTAGTGAAGGCCTGGTGCAGGGACGAGAGCAGGAGCACCTGCCTGGTGGGCAGATACGAAGGTGCAGGGGAAGCCGGAGAGCCGGCCACGTCCTCCCAGGCAGGGGCCAAGGAGAAAGAAGATGAAAGTTGGAGGCATCTGGGCGAGAGGAGTCTGTAGCGGTGGGATCACAGAGGATCCCCAGATGCCAGGTACCAGGACTAGGGGATTACTCCGTGGACGTCAGAGTTTTTGAGCGAGGGAGGCACCTGGAGATATCTCCGCCCTCTCACAGGCCTACCATACCTGCGGCTCTAAAGCGAGTGCGAGGAGGCTCCAGCACAGAGCCCCCCCCCTCCCCCCCCCGCACTGGGTCTGGAGGGAGCTGGTGTCCCCTCTCCCAGTCTGCACCCACAGCCACAGCCTTTGTTCCCTGGAGGCTGCCTTCAGCCCTGGAAGGAACTCGGGCTTTTCTGGGTCCGGTTCCAAGCAGTCCCAGCCCCAGCCGGTCGGTCGGAGGAAAAGAGCTCCCAGGGGCCGGAGAGGAGGTGCCAGGGGCACGGGCTGATGCTGGCGCCGTGCGTGCCCGAGCGCACGCACCGTGGGTGGGACGCAGCGGAGTGTGGGTGGAGGCGGGGCCGAGCAGCTCAGGAGTCGCGGGTGAGTAGGGCGAGCCTGGAAAAGACTGTTTCTCCTTTAAAGGCAAGTGTGCCTGGCAGCCAGGAGAAAAGGCTCTGCCGAGTCAGCTGCTGCTGATGCAAGGGGGGCTCGCGGGAGCAGGGATGGGCGAACCCCTAATCCGCGCGATGTTTTGCAACTGCAGGTGAATGCAGTGTGGGACTCCGGGCGGGCCTGATGGGCCGGGCTCGACCGCCTTCCGTGTTTAATATGTTCACTCTGATTTGCACACTTCCAACCACCTGCTCCCAGGACGCTTTTCAGCGTCCCTTCTCTGTCCCCTGTGTGCCCCTCCCTGGCCCCCTGCAAGCGCTCTCACCAATGCCAACACCTACTCGCTGATGCTGGGGGCTACCAGAGGAGCCTGTCCCTTCTCCATTCTCTCCTGAGCGCCAGGCTTGTCCAGACAGCTGCCTGCCTCTAGGCTAGCCCTTGGCGTGTCCCACTGGCCACGCTAAAAGCTGAACAACTCGTTGCTCCTCTGGCGGCCGGTTGCCCCAGCCTGAGTGCCCAGTATCCAGTGGACTCTGGATTTCTGAAGTCCCACCGATCTCCACACATTCTCTCCACCCGCACAAGCCAGAGCCGCCGCTCATTCCTCGTCCCAGCCGCCACCACACTGGTCTCTCCAAAAGGCACCGCGGGCTGTGCACGTCCCTGCCTCTCGTGAGCATCTTTCCGTGGCACGCAACAACGTGGCTAGACTTGGCAGAGGTCCTGTGGAGTGACAGGCCAATGTGCAGAAGCATGTGACTGCGAGGAAACAACGCACAGCTGGCCTACAGGACCAGAGTTCTGGGCCCGGTTACCCTAGGAAGTCAGGGGCAGGGTGACTGTGAGGGGAGCGGGGCCTGGGCATGGGCAGGTGGAGACCTGATCAACAGTCTCGATGTTTTCCTTCTGCCCCGAGCTTCCGTGTGAGTCAGCACCGCAAGGTGAACCAATCCTGTCTTCACTTCACATTTCGGTATTTTGTCATCATGGTTTTGTTTTGTTTTGTTTTTCTTTCTCATTTTCATTTTTTTTTCAGAAGCATTGCATCAAAAATATTATTCAAGGCAGACATTTGGCACGGTGGTTAAGATTGCTTGAGAGACCTGGATTCCATCATGAGGTTCCCGGTTCAAGTCCCAGGTCCACTTCCAATTCCAGCTACCCTAGAAGACAGCAGAAGCTGGTCTGAAGTCCTGGGCTCCCTGCCACTCATACAGAAGACCCGGACTGGGTTTCTGGCTCCTGGCTTCACCCTGGCCCAGACCTGGCTTTTGTGGGCTTTGGGGAAGTGAGCAAGTGTGTGGAAGATCTCCCTCTCTCTCACTCTGTCTCTCTGTCTCTCTCTCTCTGTGTGTGTGTGTGTGTGTGTGTCTCTCTCTCTCTGTCTCTTTCCCACTCTCTGCCTTTCAAGCAAAATGAAGAAATAAATAAAGATTTTAAAAGCCAAAAATATTCTTTATCTAGATGACTGAATTTATTGGCACCCCATCCCCGCTATGTTTTCTGCGAGAGACCAGTGCCTCTCTTACCACCCTCTGCTCCTGTCCCTGCTGGTGACATTTGTACCTCATCCGGGTGCCAGTCACACATATGTGTTTACTTTGTAAAAATGCATGGAACTGTGTATATCCCCAGTTCCTGTTGCTTATTCTGTGCATATTATGCTTCAATTAACACTCTTTTTTTAACTTGAATTCCTTGTGACCCCTGGACCAGAAACAGTACATTCAGTTAATTTAATTTCCACAGAAAGTCTATGAATAATTTTTAAGACTTATTTATTTATTTGAAAGGTGGGGTGACAGAGAAAGAGGGACAGACAGAGAGAGCTCTTCCATCTGCTGGTTCATTCCCCAAGTGGCCACCAACAGCCAGATGTAGGCGAGGTTGGAGGAGCCCAGAGCTCCATCTGGGTCTTGCCACATGGGTGGCGAGGACCCAAGTACTTGGTTCATCCTCACTGCTTCCCATGCACATGGGCAGAGACCTAGATTAGAAGCAGAGCAGCCACAACACCAGCGCCTATGAGATGAGTGTTTTTCTCTCCATTTCCTAAAGCAGGAAACTAAGACTTCAGGGAATGCTTTGTCTCAAATCACACAGGTAGCGGGTGTGAATTCCAGCACTTGGATTAAAAGTGAGACAGAGGCCAGTGCTGTGGTGTAGGGGGTAAAGCCACTGCCTGTGACAATGGCATTCCATATTGTCACCCATTTGAATCCCAGTTGCTCCACTTCCGATCCAGCTCCCTGCCAGTGTGCCTGGAAAAGCAGTGGAAGATGGCCCCCGTGCTTGAGCCCCTGCACTCATGTGGAAGGCATAGAAGAAGCTCCTGGCTCCTGGCTCCTGGCTTTGGCCTGGCCCAGCCTTGGCCGTTGTGGCCATTTGGAGAGTGAACCACTGAATAGAAGATTCCCACCCCCCTCTCTCCCTCCCTCTCTGCTTTTCCCTCTCTCTGTGTGTGTAACTCTGCCTTCCAAATAAACAAAATAAATCTTAAATAAAAAGGGGGGTCAGGGGAGCAGGCATTGTGGTGCAGCGTGTTAAGCAGGGTTGCTTAGGAGGTTGAGGTTCCATATTAGAGTGCAGGTTCGAGTCCCAGCATCTCCACTTCCCATCCAGCTTCCTGCAGATGCACTTGGGAAGTCCACAGACTTTGGTCCCAAGTGTGGATCCCTGTCACCCATGTGGGAGACCCAGATGAAGCTCCCAGCTAATGGTTTCACTGTGTTCCAGCCCTGGCTTTTGTGGGCATTTGGGAATCAACCAGCAGTTGGAAGATCTCTCTCTCTCTCCCTCTTTCTCTCCTTCAAGTAGAAGAAAATAACTAAATAAACATTCAAAAATAAACAAATGGGCCAGGGCTGTGGCTGGCTCCTGGCTTCAGCCTGGCACAGCCCAAGCCATTGCTGCTATCTGGGGAGTGAACCAGGGGATGGAAGACATCTCCCTCTATCTTTCCTTCTCTCTTTCTCTCTCTCTAAATAAATAAATCTTTTAAAAAATAAAAATAAACAAACCCAACCAGCAGTGCTTATTCAGGCCCCTGACCCAGTGCCTGCACAAGCTGTGTACCTTGCCTGGCTCTTATCTCTTAGATTACAATTATTTGAGCCTTATCTTCCCCTTAGATAACCAGGGCAGGGGCTCAGACATTCCTGCCTTCCCTGTGTCCAACAAGCTATTCGGCACAGGAAAGAAATGGAGTGAATGACCCAAAGAATGAAAGAAGAGCATGCAGACAGAATGTGGTGGGAGAGTGCAGGCTTCGGAGACACCTGCTGGCTGTGAATCTCTGGGCATCGTACCTAAGCCTGAGACTCGGTGTCCTTATCTGTAAAATAGGAATAACGCCAGGGACCAATTGAAGAGTCTCTCAAGTGTATTCAGTTGAAGAGTTTGTCCCTAGGTATTTGTATGAAATATACTAACTCCCCGAGTCAAATAGGAAATTGTCTGATCTATGCAGTCAAAGAGAATTGAAAGCATTGTTTTGGGCCTGGCTCTGTGGCATAGTGGGTAAATCTGCCACCTGCGGTGCCAGCATCCCATATGGGTGCCAGTTCTAGTCCTGGCTGCTCCTCTTCCAATCCAGCTCTCTGCTATGGCCTGGGAAAGCAGTAGAAGATGACCCAAGTCCTTGGGTCCCTGTATACCCGTGGGAGACTTGGAAGAAGCTCCTGGCTTCAGATTGGCATGGTTCCAGCCATTGTGGCCATTTGGGGAGTGAGCCAGTAGATGGAAGACCTCTCTCTCTCTGTCTTTCTCTCTCTCGGCCTCTGCCTCTCTATATCTCTGCCTTTCAAATAAATAATCTTAAAAAAAAAAAGCAAGCATCATTTCCAAGTTGGTCAGTTGATCATTCCACATAGTTCCATCAAATCTGAGTCCAGCATATTGTGATCAGCCCGTCCCAGCGTCCTGCACTGGCTTTACATTTGTTCCGTGTTCAGTGTGTCAGGTATGATGCCAAGAGGTGACACGAGCTGGAAGCTGGGTCAGTTGCTGCATATTGGAAAGCAAAGAGAAGCTGAACGTTTCTATCCGCAGCCCATGGATTGTAGTGAGTGGCAGCATCAGGCTGAATTATGTGTGGCAGAATAGGTGGCAAAGTTTGGAATGGTTGCCAACAATTTCCAAATGACCAATAGCTGGCCAGTGGGCAGGATCAGCAGTGTCAGAACCTCATATTTCCCTCTCTGGAATGGGGCTGAAATACTTGGTTTTGTGGCTAGAACAGGACTCGTTGGTTTGCACATAATGACCTGGACACCAAGCTGTGTTGGGTGTAGTGCAAAGTAATGCTTGCATACTTGATGACAGGAATTATAGATACCCACCACAGCATGCACCCGAGCTGCAGAAGCTGCTTTCTCTGTGACGTCTGGAGACCCTGTGAATGGAAGAGGAAGCTGTGCTTGTGGTTGGCGATGTGTGAATATTCAGGAGCCATGGGTAACAAATTACACTGCTTCCGAAGGTTGTGATGGGGGCTGGCATTGTGGTGCAGTGGGCTGGGCCTCCGCTTGCAATGTCAGCATCCCACATCAGAGTGCTGATTCAAGTACTGCAGCTGCACTTCGATCCAGCTCCCTGCTAATGTGCCTGGGAAAGCAGTAGAGTGTGGTCCAGGTACTTGGGTCCCTGCCATCTACATGGGAGATCAGGATCAAGTTCCTGGCTCCTGGCTTTGGCCTGGTCCAGTTCCAGCTGTTGCAAATATTTTGGGAGTGAACCAGCAGATGGGAGATCTCTGTGTGTGTGTCACTCTGCCTTTCAAATAAATAAACATTTAAAAAGTCAATGGCAGGGCCAGAGCTGTGGCATAGCAGGTACAGCTGCCACCTGCCACCTGCAGTGCTAGTATCCCATATGGGTGCCGGTTCGAGTCCCGGCTGCTCCACTTCCAATTCAGCTCTCTGCTATGGCCTGGGAAAGCAGTAGAAGATGGCCCAAGTCCTTGGGCCCTTGCACCCACAAGGGAGACCTGGAAGAAGCTCTGGCTCCTGGCTTCAGATCAGCGCAACTCCGGCTATTGTGGCCATCTGGGGAGTGAACCAGTGGATGGAGGACCTCTCTCTCTCTTTCTGTCTCTCTTTGTCTCTCTCTCTGCTTCAGCCTCTCTGTAACTCTGCCTTTCAAATAAATAAATAAATCTTTAAAAAATAGATTGCAATGTTTCTTGAAATAAATGGTGATCCACTGGGACAAGTAAAATGAAAATATTCTCAAGAATAAAACCACTAAAATTGAATTCGACCTAGACAGGTAAATCACAATTGAGGCATTTGAGCCCCAGAAACAAACTGGGCAAGTGATCCAATGTTAGCTCTCACCTGAGAATCTTCATTGTGAAAATGGCGGGGGTGTGAGTGGGACACAGCAAGTGCTTGAAACCTGGCACTGTTCCTCCTGCGGTGTGTGACGTCCTCAAAGCCCCACCGACTCCAGCGCTGCAGAGGTTTGCTCTCGAGCTCCAGACCCCAGGGCTGCTCTTCCTCAAGCCCACAGGAGGGACTTCTGGAACAGTCCAGGAGTCCGGATTTATGGTCCAGCGCCACCTGCCCGTGGGCGCATGTTCCCTAGGAGCCTCAGTTTACATTTTATCAAATGAGACTCAGAATAATCTTGACCGTGTGGCGCTCTGGGGAGGCTCAATGGCTTGACCCTGGGCCTAGCACTCGGTAGTCTCTGCATAAAAGCTGAGCCTGAGGAATGAAGCTGACTGTTGGGGGGGGGGGGCAGTAGAGACACCAGAGGGACTCAGAGACCCTGAGAGGTCTAGGGACCCATGAGAAAAACAAGAACCTGGCCCGGCTGCTTTGTGCTTAGAACGCAGAGAACTTTCTCCAGAAGAAAGTAATGGCCATGCCCTGTGCTGATGTAACTTTACAACTGCACAGAATACTCCCAGATGCCATTCTGTGGCTCCTCCCCCGACACACATTGACACTTAAGGCAACAGGGCACAGAGAGGTTAAGGCACTGGCTGGAGATGGCTCCGAAGGGGGCAGTTGGTAGCAAATTGAAGGTACAAAACCTGGGCCTCTTGATTCCTAGATTTGGATCTGAAGAAGGCGCACAGCTCCCCTCCCCCAACCGAGCCACCACCACCTAGCTGGTATTCTGCTGTGCCCGCTTCCCCCACCCAGCCCCCACCTGGACGCCACCTGGCAGTCACACGCACATGCATCAGGAGGAGCTGGCTGACTCACCCGTTATACTGGAGCTGACTCACACTTTACAAGAGGGAGTGAGACCCAGTCGAGAGCCTGGAGGAACTTCTCATCTGCACACTGAGGCCTGCAGTTAATGCCCTCAGTGCTGTGGGCTGGCTGGAGGCAGGGGTCTCTGTACTCAGAGATGCGAGGGTTTTTTTCTTTTAAAGATTTATTTTATTTATTTGAAAGGCAGAGTGACAGGAGAGAGAGAGAAAGAGAGAGAGAGAGAGAGTTAGTTCATCTATCACTTGCTGATTTACTCCCCAAATGGCCACAATGGCTGGGGCTGTGCCAGGCAGAACCCCATCCAGGAGCCTGGAACTCCATCCAGATCTCCCATGTGGTGATAGGAACCCAAGTACTTGGGCTATCTTTTGCTGTCTTTGCAGGTGCATTAGCAG